CGGCGAGAGGGAGAGGAAGGGAGGGATTGAGGAAGGGGGGTGGGAAGGGGGAAGGGAGAGCGAGAGAAAGGGGGAAGGGGTGTGTGTGTGAAGTGTGTGGGAGAGAGACGTGTGAGGTATCCATACACACATGTATGGTATCTACACGTGTATAAGAAGTGTGTGCATTCACACCTATATGCATATGAAAGACATGTGATATACATGTGTTTAACATGCACACACGTATGTGAGGTATGTATGAGATACACACATGTAAAGAGAGAAGTATGTGTTAAATAAATGACAGCTATCTGTACAGGGATGGCAGGATATAAGGAGGCCTGTGGTCCAGCTACCAGCAGAGGAGAGCACAGGCACACCTCATCTCGCTTCATCGCTTCACAGATGTCGCCTTTTTTGTGAACTGAAGGCAAGACCCTCCACCATCAAAAGGATCACGACTCACTCTATTGCGGCGGTCTGGAACGAGCCTGCAATATCTCTGAGGTCTGCCTGTAAACACCCTTTCCAGCTACAGAAAGACGCCGAGCTTTCCAGGATCGCACCAGGACTCCAGCGGGGCCGTGCCAATGAAAACAGGCGCATCTTTCAAAACGACTGAAGGCTTCTACGTGGGCCTACCATGTGTGGGAAGGAGAAAGCTCAGACACACATTGGCAATGGCTGCAGCTGGGAGCCGTGTGGCTTCTCCCATCTGGAGCCCTCTGCTTCCGCTCCGTGGAGCGGGGCCAAGGGCAAAGTTGATATTAATGTCTTATCAAGCCCTGTTGAACAAAGGCGGTGGGAAAGCTACTGGGGGGCTCCTCCAGGACGTGGGAGGGAGAGCAGGCGGGAGGGGCAACGGGTAGCTGCCCTACCCCTGCAGAGAGCTACGGGGAACTAGTGGAGCCTGACACCCCACCCCCTCCACTGGCCAAAACCCAACAGGGCTCAACGGGCCCTGAGGAGCCAGAAGGAAACAAAAGCTAATGTTCTGTCCAGCAGTCGTCCTTCAGTGTCCCGCCCTGTAAATGTACCAAGTGGCACTGAAGTCAGGGATACAGCCTGCTAGAGATTTGTCAAGTTTGTGGCATCTGAAAATTCGATCAATAAATCGATTGTGTTTGAGCATTTATATGTGATGTGGCTAATTTAACACCAAGGGCTTTGCAGCAAAGGTGAAAGTGAAGGTAGGTACACTGGTAGTTTCCAAAGAGAACAGTCACTGAGTCGCAGAGTCACTCCTGGTTCCTGGGTCTTAAAACCCCCCAGTTAGTGCTACTTGAAAACGAGGCCATTTCCACGTGCAGAGCAGCAGAGAAAGCGGGCAGGGGGACAGAGGGCGGGGCTGGACTGAAGCGGTGTTCTCAGCCACCTGGAACCTGTGCAGTGGCCTTATTTGGAACTAGCGTTTGTGCAGCTGTGATTCGATGACGTCATTCTGAAACCCTAAATCCAATGATTGGTGTCTATATAAGGCGAGTAACACACACACACACACACACACACACACACACACACACACACACACACGGAGATGGCCATGTGACAATGGAGGAGAGGTTGGAGTGATGTGACCACAAGCCAAGGAAAGCCTGGGGTCACCAGGAGCCGCCAGAATGGAAGTGGTTAAGAAAGGGTCCTCCCCCGAAGCCTTCCCACAGAGCGACACCTCGAGTTTGGACTTCTGGCCTCCAGGCTGTGAGAGAATAAATGTCTGTTGTTTTGAGGCCCCAGCCTGTGGATTTTGTCAGAGCGGCCCGGAGGGGAGGAACTCCGAGGCAGGATGCGTGGGAACCGTCCAGCTCACACCCTGGCCCTGAGCGCCCACCCGCTCCCCTCACGGGGAGTGGTGGATTCCACTGATGCTGACTGGGTGCTCTCATGGTACCAAAGGATGGACCCACCGACCCCACCCAGGCCAAGGTCAACAAGGAGAGGGCTCCTATCACCAAGGTTTTTTTATCTGGACTACATGGCAGCTGGCAACCCACAGGGACCCTGACTGCCCTCTGGGGGTGCAGGCTGGGGCCCAGCCACTGAGTCAGGCACGGGGAGTGCCCCCCAAAGCTTACATATGCAGTGGTGCAGAAGCGAGTCCCCCATTGCCCTGGGTGGCTGCAGGTGGAAGGTAGAGAAGCCTCCCACAGGTGGGAGGGGCCTGCACCTGGGAGGGGAGGGGAGGAACGGAGGAGGAGGAGGAGGGGCCCGGCCGTGCCAGGAGCGCCCAGGTTCTCTGTGAGCTCCATACGCAAAATGAGCAGGCACCAGTTCCGAGCTGTCTGGTTCCCAGTTTTATTCTTTTTAAAAATGTGATCAGTATATATCTCCATGGTAGAGAAACAAAAGCACCCACAGGGGCAGACGCTTATGGAGCCCTGATCTGTTTCCCTCTAAGAACTTTCTCCTCACGGGCATGAGAGCAGAGAGCAGAGGGCCTCCATGGAGGGGCGGTTCACATGTGTCCTGGGGACATCTAGGGACTTGGGAGTTACAGGCGGAGGAGGTGAGGGACTACCCCCGCCACCAGCCAAACATTCACCCTCCCAGAGCCTGCCCACCCAGAGGCCCCCAGGAATGAGCACAACGAAATCTCTTCATGCAAAGACACATCCATCCACAGCAAAACCAAAATGAAAGAAACCAAGGAAAAAGGCTGAAACAGAGACATCTGTTTCCTCAGGGACCAACAAGGGCTGAGAAGGGCAGCGGCTAGCTTGGGCCAGGCGACCTGGCATCCTGGCTCTCAGCATGTAAAGATTAATAACAGAAACCTAATTTAAATTGGAGTCGGGTAGGTTCTCACACCGACCACTCATTGTCATTTACCCCAAACCAGGAGAGAAATACTTTCCATCTCCGACAGGAAGACGTTTTCTATTCTTACTACTCCAGCAGGAAAAAGGATGTTCTCCTTGCCTGGCAACCACTCAGCCAATGAGAAGCCGCTACACTTTGGATTCCCAGTGTCCCCCAATGGACTCTTTGTTTACAACACCCCTCTGCACTCCCCCTTTCCTCTATAAAAGAGCAGTCATCTCCTTTGTTCTTTGGACTTGTGGGTGGTTCACCATTAGACCCAAATTTCAATTCTTTATTATTCCCGAATAACCATGTTGATGGAGAAATATCTGGCTGTCTAAGGTCAACAAACAGGGCTTCTCACCAAGCACGGTCCTGTCAGCCGCCTTTCCTCTGGTCAGGGAATATGATAAAGGGTCCTCCAGGAGAGGTGTCCATGGGGTCTGAGCCAACCTACACTCACATCCCTAGCTTGAATTAAAACTGCACTGAGAGGGCCGGCCGAGTGGCGCGATGGTTAAGAGCTGGCTTGGGACACCAGAGGGCCCCGGTTCGGATCCCACATATGAGGGCCAGTGACACTGTCCTCTACAGCTAAGATGCTGAACAACAGCTCAACCTGGAGCTGGGCTTCCATGAGTCGCCGGCGACGGCGTAGGCTGCAGCCCCTGTGGCAGTGGGTTGCCATGGGCTACCATGTGTAGCCAGCAGCCAGCATGAGCGGCCGTCCAGAAGCCGGCGACTGATCTGCCTCACCCGGGAAGAGCGCAATGATGGTGTCAACTTGGGCCAGTGAAGCAACATCCTCCACAACTAGACTGAAGAACAAAACGACAGCAACTTGTCTGTTCCCCTTCCCCCAATTCCCCAGCGCTGTTCCCATCTCCCCAATTCCCCAATAACAATCTTTTTTAAAAAACCTGCACTGAGAGACCCCAGACAGGGACACCCCACCCTGGCCCCTGCTATTGGTCTCCTGAGATGCCTCCTTAGCCGAACAAGCCTCCCACCATCACAAGAGTGGCCAGGCCTCTGCCATCTGCCCCCAATGAGAAATGGAAAGGGGGCCTCCTTACCACAACTGGGGGCACCTCCAGGACCTTGTCCACGTTCTTCAGCGACAGGGGCACATACCACAGGGTGGCCTTATTGGTCAGCTTTTTGGTACCTTCAAAGAAGAAAACCACATGAGTGATGGCCTAGAGAGAGAGGATGGGGGAGGTGGGGTGGGCTGAACCACTACCACCTATGACCCCTGATCCCCAAGGCCTTCTTTAGCCATCAGGTGCAAGTGTGGACCTCCCCCCCCAGAAAGGGAACCCTCCTCCCCAATTGCTGCCCCTCTCCAGAGGCTGCTGTAAAGACTTCAGATCACCCAGTAAGCCTGGGGACTCCCAGGTCCATTGGCTTTCTAGCATTTTCTGACACAGAGGGCTCACACCCAGGGGCACCAGAGCCTGGCATGCCCGTCTTCACAGGTCTTCTGACACAAGGGAAGTTTGGTCATTAACACACCAGAAGCGTCTGAGGAGCTTCCAGGCAGAGAGAAGGGCTATGGGGAGAGGCAGACAGGCTTCGGGGGAACCACTCACTCAGCCAGGCTGAGCTCAGGTCTCTACCAACAGATCCAGCCGATGCTGATTGGGAGAACTCCTTGCTGAGAAATTCGTGGTCAACAACACTGACAAATCTGCCCATCTGTCTAAAGGTTGCCGAGAAGAGCTCCGCCCTGACAGGGCCAAGCAGGAAGAACAGTGGCTCACAGACGTGAGGCTCAGGGGGACGTGAGGACAGAGCCCACCCAAGCAACCTGAGAAGGGGCGGTGGCCGGGCCACAGCCCAGAGCACAGCTGTGTGGTCGGCCCATCAACGCCCATTTTTGCAGCCACAGGGGCTTCCTTAGTGTTCCCCTCTTTACTGTGGAAGGCGCCAGACCATACGCTTGGACTTGCTGCCAGCCTACTCAAACTTCCAACCTAGAAGCTTCCAGATGGAGTGCCAAGAGACAGGCTGTGGGCTGGTGATTCCACTCTGGGCAGAATGACAGAAGACACAATCTTCCTTGGGGCACTGAGACCGGTCTCGGGGCAGAGCGGGGCTGCCCCACCAGCCAAAAACCACGGGCCATAAGAAATCACGTGGGAGCCGGCCGAGTGGCGCATTGGTTAGGAGTTGGCTTGCGATGCCAGCTCTGAGCAGCAGGGCCCCGGCTGGGATCCCACATGAGGGCCAGTGACACTGCCCTCTACAGCTAAGATGGTGAACAACAGCTCAACCTGGAGCTGGACTGCTATGAGTCGCCAGCGACAGCGTAGGCTGCAGTGGGGCTGGCCGGCAGCTGGCGTGCGCTTTCGTGAGTGGCTGTCCAATGGCCCGAGAGCAACTGCCTCAGCCGGGAAGAGCGCAATGATAATACCAACATGGGCCAGTGAAGCGACGTCCTCCACAGCTAGACTGAAGAACAAAAGGACAGCAACTTGTCTGTTCCTCTCCCCCAATTCCCCAACGCTGTTCCTCTCCCCCAATTCCCCAATAAAATCTTTAAAAAAAATAAAATCCACTTGGTCCACACCGCTCACATGTACAGGAGGAGCTAAAGCCCAGAGAGGTCAAGAGGTCTGCCCAGGTTCACACAGCAAGTCAGTATCTTTCCGAGTACAGACCCAGGCCTCCGGGACACTTCAGGGAAGTATCTGCAAGGATGCCTGTGAAGAGTTGCCTCTTCAACATGGAAGAGTCCCAAAGTGGAGGAGCACAGTGAAATGGGGAGAGAGAGAGGAAGTGGGAAAGGAGAAAAGCAGCCCAGCGACCCCTCCAGGGTCTCACTTCCTACCAGTTCCTTCTGACCTCCCTTCTCAAGGTGAGCCCAGGGCTTTGGTTTCCTCCCGTGAACACAGCCCCAAGAACCACGCCAAGCCCCAGGGGGTCAATTAGAAAGATGGCACCATCAGGACAACAGGCTCCTGCGCCCGGGAACCACAGGCAAATACAGGGAAATATTTTCACTGCACTTTGACTGAAAGTGAATCTGACAACCTGCTTTTGGGAATAAAGATTTCCTGTTTCACTCAGCTAGAGCCAGCCTGACAAGCTGGTTTCCATGGAAACCCCGAGTGGCCCTCCTCCAGACCTAAATGAACGCCAGGCAACAAACGAAGTAAAACATACTAATTGCGCTTTCTCCATCATTTAATAAAACCATCAAAAGACAACTGCAGCATTACAAACATCTATTTTAAAATCTTAAGAGCTCCCAGCTATTTTCTGGAACAATTCGCAGCAATCACGTCCCAGTTAGCTTAATATTTTGACAGTTTCCAGAGATGAATGAGCCGTCTAGAAGACAAAGGTCTGCTGGTTTGTCTGCCTGGGCGTGTGCTCACTCAACTGTCTCCTGACAGGGAATACACCCCCATGGAAGGGGACACACAGAAGGGGGGACCCCTGCCTCCTGGGGTTGAGAAACACGGAAACGGCACGCGGACAGCTCCACGGTTCAGCCTTGTTGGGCTGTTTGCCCGCCGACCTGTCTCCCCTGCTCCCAGCCAGCGAACACTGATTCAAACATGGAAAGACAGAGAGATGCACAGGTGCATTGATAAGCCAGGGAGACCCAGAGACGAGAGTAAGAAAAGGGGTGTCAGACCTTCAGCAGGAGTTCCAGGGCAAGATGACCAAGACATGGAGAAAAGCCACAGCCCTCACCTTTCCACATCTCGTGATACGGGGGAGGTCAGGGGCCTGGCCTGGCCCCGTCTCGAAAAGCTGAGCAGTGCCAGCCCGGCCCTGGGCTCGCCCGAGCCCATTTTCTCATCTGCACAATGGGATACCAGTGCCTGCCCCACGGTCCCCTGCAGGTGGTCACCTGCGGCACTGCTCCTCACGGCTGCTTCTCTCCTTTGTGGGGTCGGTCCAGGTCTGTGCACCCATCTACAGGGAGAGAGCAAGGCCGAGGGCCGCGGTGGCTGGGGACGCTCAGGGGAGGTGGACAGCATCCACACTGGCAGGCCAGGGCAGACGGCTGTGGTGTCACCCACCCCTTGAGAACCACCATACTGGGATCAAGCCAGGACCCCAAGTGTCCCTATGAGGCAGCTGTAGACATGCACGGTGCACATCTGAGGAGGTGACGTGGGCGCTGAGCTTGGAGACAATAGGACCCAGGCAGAGGGTCCCAGCGAAGTGCACACAGAGCCAAGACGCCACAACCTGAAGATGCAGGCGCGTCCTCAAACGAGCAGGTCTGGGAGGCAATGACGGGCCCTGGTTCTCAGGACCCTGGTGGTCAGGAGGGCCGGCCTCAGCACGGGGCCTCTCTGACTGCTCCCACCTCTCGGGTACGCTCTCTTCAGAGGCAGCTCCCAGCTGGCAACCCACCAGCAGACCAGCACGTTCCCTGAAGGGAAGGCTCAGCCTGGCCCACAGGGCTGCCTGCCCGCTCCTCGCTCCGAGAGGCGGCACGTCCAAATCCACCCCCACCCCGCACCCCTGACCCAGGGTGGAGTGAGGTGCAGTTTCATTCTCCCATCTACCTAGGGCCAGACAGGGACTCGGGGCAGAGGACAGGAGGTGGGGTCCGCTTGGAGGGCCCAGGAAGGCCTGTCTGGCTCTCTGGCTCTCCTCCCCACCAGTTTATGGGCTTCCTCTTGGGTTCTGGCCGCTCACATTTTAGAAAGGGGGCTTCGATGCTGGGAATCTGGGAAGCTGGCCCAGCCCCATTGTGAAGTCCCTGACTCCCTGACACTGGAAAACCACGATGACAAAACAACGCTGCTGAAATTGCTATTGACAAGTGAGCACGAGGATCTAGAGAAGCAGGGAGCACAGCCGCTTTCTTCTTCTGTCGGGAGCGGAAGGTCAAACCCCCAGCACAGCCCAGGGGAGGAGGGTTGGACCACCTAGATGGAGGGGAGGATGAGATGGAGGGACCCCAAGGTCGAGATGCGGCAAGACAGTGCCCAGGCACCCCTTCCTGTGCCACAGCGTGAAACCCACATCAAAAGGTCCCTCTGATGGCAGCATCACCTGCTGCGTGCAGGGCTCAGACCAGACACATGGCACAGGCACGCTGACTGCTGCCCCCGACCCAGGCCCTCGCTCAGCTAAAGTGTTCACTGTGCTGTGGCCACACCTGCTGAGAACCCCAGAATGTTCCAGATGAATAACTGTGCTCCTGACCCCTGGGGTAGAAGCCTGGAGCCCTTACAGAGCACTGAGCATAGCGCTGTGTCAGCCGCAGCGGAGGAGGGGTGTCAGGAGGAGTGTACAGACCCGTCAGCACCTTCCTCCCTCCAGAGCCAGTGTGGGCTCTCCCATGCTCAGGCTGGGTGGCCCGGGACAGGGAGCTGGGCAGCGAAGGGACGAAGGGGCCTGCCTTCCTCAGCAGCAGCGGGTTATAAAAAGCAGCCAGTGCCAGTGGGAACGGAGCCACACTCCCCTGCAGAGCCCAGTGGGAGGATGAAAAGGGGTTTCCATGGTTACCACACCAAGGAAGAGACTATTTGGATCAAACCAGAGTCAAAGGTTCCCCCAGGGAGATTCCGCCTAAGCCTGGTTAGCGGGCAGGGGCTGGGGCAGGTCCCCTGCGGGGCAGGGCAGCCTCACCAGCAGGGAAGGGCAAGGAGTGCAGGGAGAGGCAGCAGAGGGGCTGGGCTGCTTGTGCCTTCCCAGCCACTCCCACCCCTCTGCCCAGAAGGAGCTGGCAGGGCGGAGGCAGGATGGGGCAGTGGTTGTACACTCAGGGCCAAGGCAGGGCTTGAATCCTGCTCTGGGGGCACCATCTCAGGCTCGTTGCTTAACCAGCCTGTGATCCGTGTGCGTCTGCAGAACAAGGATAGCAGGACAGGGAGGTCGGCGGTGGACAGCGTTAGGACCAGTCCCTCGGGCAGTCAGCCCTCAGTCCACGTGAGGCGGCTCCTGCCCTGCCATCAGCACTGCCGTCAGCACCGCTGCCCACCAAGCTGGCTCGGGGAGCGCGCGCCAGTTACCTGTGAGGATGTTTTCAGACGTCACGTGGACCTGGACTTCCACGGAGTGCTTGGAGGTGTAGGTGATCTCCGCGCTGACATGGGCCACCTCACCGATGCACATGGGTGACAGGAAGTCAGTACGCTCTACTCGGGCCAGGGCGGCCACACAGCGCTCCTGCAGAGACCAGATGCGGGTCAACACGGCCTGGCAAGTCCCCACCCTGGACATGCACCCCCAAAACTGCCTTGATGAAAGTAACGTGATTTATTGACACCACACAGTCCTAAATGCAAAACCTCAGGAGGTGTAGAAATGCGCCCCCCCCCCCGCCAGCTGTCACTCAAGTGATTCTGAGCGGTGGGGTTACCAGCGGCTTTTTCCTTGTATCTAATTTTTCTACAAAAGACATGCATTACTTGCATAATGAAAAGTGAAAAGAGACACACATACTCATTATGGAAAATGAGAAATACACTGAAGTAGACGGAGCAGGGAAAAATCACTCCTCCCATCCAAAGATAACCACGGTTTCTATTTTGGGATCTTCCTTTCCGGGCTTTTTTCTCCAAGAATAGGGGTTCGACTGGTTCATTTGTTCCTTTGCCTTGATCTTTTTTTCACAGCTTAGTCTTATATAGTTGTGCAAAAGCTAAATTTACACTTTCACAATCTGCTTTTTTCCACTCGACAGGAGAAAAATAACCTGCCGCGCTATGACAAGCTCTCAGCAATTACTGTTCTTTTATTTAAATGTTATTTATCCTTCAACCACATAACCCATCCTCACGACTCAAAATTCAAAAGGAACAGAAGGGCCCCAGGTCTGCGTCTTGTCACTTGTCCCCGTCACCCAGGACGCCCTCGGTAACCGATCGGCACAGCCGGGGAGTACATGTCACTGGGGTTTCCGGCTAAAGGGCCTCTCCAGCCCACTGGGGAGCCCATCGTGTCAGAACGTGAAGGACTTCCTCACTGTTTTCACGGCGTTTTCTATGACTGCCTTTTCCCGATCCCCCATTGCAAAACAACTTCAGTGGCCAAACAGAATGGGGTGGTCTCCTGTAATTCGAGATTTGGGTCAAGCCCAGTTAGTTCTTATTACAAATAATTCTTTGACGGGCATCCTTCTACTTAAATTGTCTCCGGTACTAGGGATTGTTTCCTGGGTGGAAAGGACAAGTACTTTGACTTATGATCCCAGGGTGCTTCTCAACAACACAGCAGTGCTTGACGCGGCCTCAGCGCCTCCCGGCACCAGCCGCATTTCTCATCTGTGCTAACCAAGTGACACAAAAGACACCTTGTGTTAGAGAAGAGGCTGTGATCCTCATTGCCGAACAGAGCACTTAATACTTTCATGACTTTCTTCCAGAAAGCAACCATCTTTTACAGGATGCTGGACTTCCCAGGTCGGAGCCGCTCCCTGATTCCCCCTGGACTGGGTGGGGTGTGGAGAGCAAGAGACGGGGCTCTTGGTGGAGCCTGTCAGGCCCTGTGCCAGCTCAGGTATTCGCTTTCGCAGTTAATCCTCCCCTTCTGCAAGGGTTGGAGATATTAGGCTGGTAGGTAACTGTCAGTTCGAACCCTGCCATCAGCTGCCCGCTGCCACCACGGCACCAATGCACAGCTCTCCCACCTGCACAAGAACTCACCTGGTACCTGGCAAACATGTGAATTCCCTGGCCAACCCCAAGCCCACAGAACCTGCCTCTTTGAGGAACATCAAGGGGCCGCCATCTTTACCCCTCCCAGGCGATTCTCAGGCACACAGGGTCAGGTCAGGGGCTCTGTGACGGTTTCTGTTCCTGTAAACGTCCCAGAGTCAGGTCTCAGCAAGGCAGGCCATCAGTGTGACTGGGACAGGTTCTCGGGCCAAGCTGTGCCTTCCCACTCCTATGGGCTTGTCGCCCTCCCCACAACACATACACAAGTCACTCGCTGATGCTAAAACAACACCGGGAATGTTTTTAAGTACATTTACGGAGCTACAGCACCACCCACTGGCAGAAAGCTGGAAAGGCAGCTCAGTGGAGCCGGGCAGGAATGAGGGACCCGCCTCTGGGTAGTTTCTGGGAATTATCCAAGCACTGGACCCAAACGGAACTAAACCTGGTGTTTTTATTGCAGAGTGTTAGATTACAGTATGGACATGCCCACACACAGATAACATATACACGTCCATTAATAGTTTTCATGGGAACAGCTTGTCTGTCACTCTTCTACGTGTCTTGAGCCTTGGATGGACCTGAGCCGTTCATGGCCCCCATGGGATCCTTCATTCACAGTATTTTCGGAGCCAGGCACTGCGCTCAGCACCAGCATTGGGGGAATAAGTCAGAGCCCCTGCCCTGGGCCTGGGTTCTGGCTGGAGGTATGATAAATAAGTAAACCAGACAAGCCACACAGGGCTGGGTGCCCTGAAGAGGGTGGCATGGCATGTGGCCGGGGGGGCAGCTTCAGGTGAGGGGGGTCGAATGGCCTCTCTAGGGAGGGTGCATTGGAGCTGAGACCTGAATGACAGGGGGGCAAGTGGGAGAAGGTGTGGGGGTGTGGGCACCCCAAGCGGAGGGAAGAGCAGCACAGGCCCCGGAGAGGGGCTGGAGGCTGGGCCGTGCGCTGGGGTGCACGGCCAGAGACACCGTGAGAGGTCAGCAGGGCCAGGCCACGGGCCACTCTGGGAGGCTTTAAGGAGACACAGGAGCAGGCTCACTGTTCAGTCCACACACTTCAGAGGTGTGAATTTCCGGCAAAGGGCATTTGTGTTCCTTCCATAGCCCGAACACGTGTGGAATGACTTGGGGCAAAAGGCAGACACTTCTCAGCGCTGTCCCCAGGGGCACTCTTAACACAGACCTGTCCAGAGCCTTTGGGCCAGGCATGGGGACGCCCGGGGACAGCCTCATGGCTGCCCTTCCCAGGTGGGGAGGCCGCTACAAACATTAAGTTTGGTCCTCTCCTGGCTTAAAATGCTAAAAGGAGAACCACTGTTTACTGGGCAGACACTCGCGAGTCTCACCACACTCTCATTTCATCATTACGCGACCCTGTGACAGAAGTGTTTGCTATTTCGCAGGCGGGGAGGCCTGAGAGGCGGTTGGGCTGTTGGTGACTCTGTCTGGCTAAGGTGAGGGCGGCACATGCTGGGACCCAGGAGGGCTACAACTTGACTGTGAGCTGCTGTTTCCCAGGTCCTAGCAGGGCGCTGGGCCGGCCCAGGCATTCCACAAAGACCAGTGTGATCCGAAAATTCACAGTGCAGACTGACGGGTGCAGGCCGGCCTCAGAGACACTGTGGGTTCGGCTCCAGTAAAGCGAGTCGTAATCTTTTTGCTGGTGGAGGGTCTTGCCTTCAACTTGTGAAAAAACACATCTGTGAAGCACAACAGGGCAAGGTGTGCCTGTGTCTGCGTCTGCCGTGAGGCTCCCATGTGCCCTGCAACTCTCGGCTTCCGGGGCTTAAAACAGGGGAGCAGCCCCCACCCTGGGAAGCAGCCATGAGCGTTTTGATTCCCATCTACCCAAAGGAGTGCCCTCTGCCACGCTCCTGGCATCACAGTGCCAATTACGTGCCTCATAAACCACAGGGTCTGGGCTCCTGAGCGGCCACGGGGCTTCAAACCATGACAGCAGCTTCAGCAGCAGAGCCAGAAAGAACAGCGCTGGGTCCTGGGCTCAAATCCTGACGCTTCCGCTTACTAGCTCTGGACCCTGAGCAGTGACTTCTCCGCTCCGTGTCTCAGTCTCTTTGTAAAATACAGACAATAAATGGTAACAACGGCTGCTGCCAGGATTCAAGCGTGGAGACATGAGGAGTGGAGATAAGGCGAGTGAATGAATGGGTCCAGAGACAGCTCTATTACTATTATTCTTTGGGTGCACCGGCCCCACGCCCACCCAGGCACCCTCGACTGATTCCAGCTTACAGGAGGCAGTTCTGCATGACCTTTGGAAAGCCACCTAACCTTCCTAAGCCTCCGTTTCCTCACCTGAAAAGTGGGGTTAAGAAGATGGTTGGGAAGATTCCCCGGAAAGGAAGGCCATGCACTCAGCACAGTTGCTGTCACATCGAAAGCACACTAAACAGAAGCTCGCCATAGGGTGGCTACTCCAGACACACACTTCCGGCAATCACAGATAGCCAGCAGGAGCCCACTACGTGCCAGGCCTCGGTCCAGATGCAGAGCACCCAGCAGGGAATCAACAGGCAGAAGTCCCTGCCCTTGTGGGGCTTACACTCTCGTGAGGGAAGCAGCCCAAAGATAAATAAATGAGCGAAACGCACAGTGTGTGCCAGAAGCGACAGTGCTGTGAAGAACCACAGCTGGAGCAGTGAGGGAGCTGGTCATCAGAAGGCTTGCGTGGAGTCGTGTTTAACCAGACACTGGAAGGAAATGAGGGGAAGCCATGCCGGTATCTGGGGGAAGGGCAGCCCAGGCAGAGGGAAGAGCCAGTGCAAAGGCCCCGGGGCAGGAGAGCCGGTGTGGCCCCAGAGCGTGCTGAGGAGGAGGAGAGGAGGCGCTGGAGGTGGACACGGGGGGACGAGGCAGGGGCAGGCGCTTGTGTGGATTTAGGCTTTCGCTCCACGTGAGATGAGAGCCAGTCTCAAGAGTGGTGTGCACTGGCTTCACGGTTAAAGGCTCTTTCTGGCTGCTGCTGGAGACAGATGAGGGGAGCAGGGGCAAGCAGGGAGATCTGCTGGGAGGCTGTTAGTAATCGGCTTGACTGGGTGGCAGTGGAGCTGGTGAGTAGGGCTCAGACCTGGAAACATCCAGCAGGTGGAGCCAACAGGACTGGCCACCAGTGTCCAGGGTGTGACAGCAGGAGCAGGGTCAACAGAGGCTCCAAGTTCTGAGCCTGAGCAATTCGAGGCCGCAGAGGTCATTCACCTGCAGGAGAAGCCGCCAGGGGTGTCTTTTGGGCCCATCAAAGCCAAGGGCCTGATTAAGCCTCCAGGGGATGCCGGCCCAGCTGGAGAGAGAACCCGGCACCACATCATGGTGTTAAAGCCAGACTGGAAGAGACCACAACGGGAGTGTGGATGGGGGTGCCCTCTACCCCACCCAGAGCCCCAGCAAAATCCTCAGGCCAGCATCCAGCCTCCTCAAGCTGCCTAGAGCTCACAACCCACTCCTGACCTGGAGCTTACATATTACTACCCTGGTACCACCAGCCTGCAGGCGTCACCAAGCCAACATGTCAAAAGTGTCCCTCTTGCACCCCCAGGCTCACTCCAGAGAAGAAGTGAGGAGAAGCCGGGGCTCAAAACATGGGTTCAAGGCCTGGATCCCCAACCCAGACCAATCACCTGCCTTCCCGTGTGGCTTCAGGCAAGTATTCGACCTCTCTGTACCTCAGTTTCCTCATCTGTGCAATGGGGATAGTAAAACTAACCTCTACCTCTTAGGGGTAGCGTGAGGATTACATAAACAGTAGCACTTACAGCTTCGTCTTCCACTGGCCTCCCACACCCCTCCTCCTCCCTTACTCCCCAGCCCGGGGGTTTTCCCTCCCGATGTCCAGCCTCACTGGCCAGCCCTGCCTTAGACCCTCACTGACTCTCTCTTGGAGGGTCTACCAGGCACTTAACCCCCACACACCAGCCCCAGCCCAGCCCCAGCCCTAGCCCCTCAGGCTCAGGCCCATCCTCCCCATGGCCACCAGAGGGCGCGCTCTGAGCCTGGCAGGGTGGGCCGGGAACTCCAGAATAAATCCAAACTCCTAGCAAAGCAGGGGACTCCTCCTTTGTATCAACAGCCAGCCCAATCCAACCCACTTCCATTCCTCCCTGAGCTGAGGTCCCCCACGCCTATGTCCACCCACACACACCCAGCTTCATTCATGCTACACGCATGCATGCACACACACACGCCTTCTCTCAGTACAGCAGGAGGCTAGCTGAGGCCTCAGGTACAGAGGCCACGGGCTTCCTACTGGACCCACGCTGGCAGCTGTGGTGGGTGGGAGACAGACCCCTTCCCCTAGCACCCGAGGGCAGTTTCTCTCACGCTGGCCGACCTTCAGAGAAAATGTCAGGTCCCTTGGGACTGGGGAAATGGCAGGAGGTGACGGGTCATGCCCTGCAACTGCCCTGAAGCCCTAAAACCAGAAAGTCTTGTGATTGTTCCCAGTGGCGAGTGGGGACACCATCGTGGGCACCTGTTGCAGGCTGATTGGGCTTCACGGGCGACAGTGCCAGCGTTTGGCCACAGCCACCCAGGGGAAGGGCAGGCAGGGGAGGGATGGAGCACAAGGCAGTCTGATGCCCACGATAAACTTCCGCCCACGCAGACATGGCTCTGTAAGGGCCAGACTCAAGGACGATTCTGGAAACCAAGACTATTCCAGAAAGGAGGGGTGAGGTGCCACATGGCAGCTAGAGGCTGGCTCTCAGCTTGGTCTCTGGTGGTCCCCACCCCTCCTCAGAGAGTGTCCCGTCCAGGGCTGACTGGGCTGCGGCTTCTGGGGGCCCCCAAGACCAAGGAGTTGGGGAAGGGGAGACTCCTGCATCCAAACGCCTTTTCGGGCCCAACAGGGGTGCGGCGCTGCACACACAGGCCCGCCAGGCCACCTGGGGCCTGGAATCTGCCACGTGCTCCCAGCCAAGCTGGGGGAGGGTCCCAGACACTTACCCCATTCTGGCTGTTACAGTGCCGGGTGCTGATGATGGCCCCCGCCTCCTCGATCATCTTCAGGATGGTACCTCCGTGGACATTGCCGGCCACATTGGCGTCATCTGGCCGCATAATCCTAGGCAGAGGAGAGCGCAGCAGAATGAGCCTCTGGGAAGAATGTCGCTCGTGAAGAGTGACAACCGGGGAGAGGAGAGAGGACAAGGTCCTCCAAAGGGACCCATGGCTCCCAGAGAAGGAAAAAGAATTTTCCACGTGTTTGGTGACGGTGGGGTGCTGATCTGACAGGCCAGACAAGGGGCTGCGGGGTCCTGCTTCCATGGGAGAGGAGGGCAGAGGAGGGCACAGAGGGTGACCTTTCCCTGGGCCCGGGCCGGAAAGGGGTGACTGGGGACCTTTGGCAAAGGCAGCGAGGTGCTGGCATGGCTGTGGGGTTCCCAGCATGCCGGCCCCTCCTGGTTCCCAGGCCCACCAGAGGCCAGCAGAGCACAAGGACACAGGCTGGGGCCCCTTGGAAGATGAACAAATTCGGGGACCACAGCCTCCATGGGAGTCCCAGGGGAGGGGCCGCTCTGAGAACTGGAAATGCGTCCCAGCCTGGAGACCTGTCAGCAGGTGAACGCCCCTCACCACCTGCCCCTGGAGTGCCGAGCTCCTCGTGAGCACCTGAGGGGACCAACTCCCAGGATTGTCCGCCGGGGGGCTCTCCAAGGTCAAGGCGAACTAAAAGGCCACCTCATTTCCCCAAAGAGGAAGAACCCTGCCCTTGCCATAGGCAGCCAGCACTGGGCAAGCTCCAAGAAGTCTCTGGAACCCCAAAATACGCCAGTGTGGGGCTCCTGCTGTGGACAACCCCGCAGGGCCTGGAACTTTCCCACACAACCATCTGGCTAATGAAATCTGCCTACACAGGCCTCAGGCCCAGAGAGAGGTAACGAGCAAAGACAGGCCACAGCAGGCCAGCTGCAGGGGCACCCAGCCTGGCCAGCAGCACCCAGAGCGGTACCCTCCACGGAGCTCCGCTGTCCTCTGGGCCTGGCACCTCCTATGGGCTCCATTCAGCAGCTTAGGGGCAGTCAGACTCAGGTTGGTCCTGGCTCCCGCTCTTACCAGCCGGGTGACCAGGGACAGCTGCCCAAACTCGCATTCCTCCAGCCCCTGTGGCAGTGGGTTGCCATGGGCTACCGTGTGTAGCCAGCAGCCGCAGTGAGCGGCCGTCCAGAAG